GGCAGGGTTGTGTCAGATCTTCTCCATCTTGGAGATGAGGTCATCACAGATCCGGGTCAGTTCCTCGTTTTCCTTAGTCTGAAGGAGAAAAATAAAATCCTCATTGGTTTTTCTGAAGATTTTATTTTGAATCCTCACTACATCTCACGTGGGGCTCGAACTCACAACCCCAAGTTGCTCAAAGAGTTGCATGCTCTTCTGACTGTGCCAGCTGGGGGTGCAGAATCCTTGGGTCTGGAGGAATTCTCAGAAGCGGCAGCCCTGGAGTGGGCCATGGGCTGCCTACAAGTTATTGGCTGACGCCCCTGCCCCAGGGTGGATCCCCAAGCCGGTCCAAAGCAGGCAGGGCTCCTCCCCTCCCCCTAGCACCAGGGGTCCCGTGTGCCCACCTTTTGCTCCACTGTCTTCTCCAGCGAGTGGATGCGCATCTGCTCCTTCCTCAGGCTGGCCTGGAAGGCCAAGGATTCCGCTTGGGCCTTGCTGCGCACCTGGGCAATCTCCTCGCTGGCTCTGGGGATGCCAAGGAGGGGGCTGAGCGGTCAAGGCCAGGGGGGTCCCTGACCCAAGGCTTGCTAGGTCTTGCCCCGCCCACTCCCACCAAACTCACAGTTGGAGCTTCTCCTCCGCATGGGCCTTCAGGGCCTGGTACCGCTGGCCCTCCTTCTCTATCCTTGCAATGTAACCCTCCACACACTTCTTCAGCGACTCTTCATTCTTTAGAGAACGCGCAGATGTGAACTGCGCGGTGTGTCCTCTGTTGGAGCCCCCCAGGCCTCGCTTTTTGGACAGGTGTGGACAGGCCCACCATCAAGGGTTTCTGGGGGTGTTAATCAAGCCACGGGGACACAGCTGGACACCTACCTGTCCCCCCCCCCCCCGCCAGGTGTGAGAACGGACCCCTGGCCCCTCACAGCTGCCGTGGCCCCATGCTTCTGGCAGGTACTGCTGACCACAGGAGGGCATATCTGGACATGGGGCTGGGGCCATCCACCTCAGGGCTGTTTGGGCCCAGCTTTGCAGCTGAGTCTGGGTCTGGTTTCAGACCATGACAAAGCCAATACTTGAGGGGCAGGGGGAAGGCTGGAGATTGAGGCCCCGATGTGGTGCCCCCACTGCCCCTGGGCCTTCCAGGGCCCCCTGAACCCTCATCCTTCATGGCAACAGGCCCCACCTTTGAGCTTTGCCCCTGTGCTTCCTTCTTCCACACATCAGGTGACACTTTCTAGGCCCCCCGCCCCCACCCCCAACACAGGCCTGTCTCAGCAGCTGTGCGTGTGATCACTGCATGCCATGCATGCATGTCCCGATGCCCTCTGGAAGGGGACCAGCTCCTGCAGGTGACTCCTCTTGCAGAGAAAGAAAGGGTCGGCCACGGGAGAGCCCTGCCCGGTTGTGTGCCCAGAATGCTGGGCAGCCCGTAGGCCCCATGCAGTGGGGCCACTGAGGTCCAAGGGGCCCAAGTCCTCCTCCAGGAGGCAGCCAGTGAGCATCCTAGGCACCCACTCAGCCTGCTGGGGCTCTGTCTCCAGTCTAGGCCCCATGGCCCCTCTGCTCAAGTCCCCGGACAAATAGTAACCTCCGCCAAGCCTGGGTCCGCTGGCAAGGGAAGGGCACAGCCAGGGGGCTGCCCAGGTGGTCTGCCTGGCAAGTGAGCAGCTTCCGGCCCTCAGCAAGGTGAGGCCATGGGGCAGGCTGGCTCCGTGGCTGAACACGATGCCCCGGGGACGCCGTGTGGGAGGACAGGCACAGGCCCACTTGGCACCACCTACCTTGCGGTAACCCTCGATCACCTCCTTCTGTTTCTCAAACCGTTTGAAGAGGTCAGAGAAAGACTTTTCCATGGAGCTCAGGTCTGCAGTCAGCTGCTCTTTTTCCTTTAGGATCTTCTGGATCTCTGCTTTTGCAAGTTCCTTCTGCTTCTGAGCCTCCTCTTGAGCAAAGAGAAACAAGCACCGTGGTGAGAGCAGCCCCCACATGCTGGTACCACAGGCGAGGGCCCTGGATGTGGGACACATGTGACAGGGGAGGGGTGGGCAGCTGGCTGTGGTCCTGCTGAGGGCTGGGCGACAGGCACCCCCACCCCCTCCAATGTGATCTTCCAGAGCAGAGCCTAGGGGGCCCACAAGCCAGCCCTGGAGGGGTGGGTGGACAGGGCCCCAAGGGACACCAGGCCAGGTCCCCAAGCCAGGGGCCTCTGGGAGCTTGAGGCTTTGCCCAGGGTGAGGACTGGTACTCACTCCAAGCCCCACCTGACAGGTCCAGAGCCTGACACCCTGGGGACATGGGGAGCACACCCTGGATACAGTGACCATGGCAGGGACCCCAGATGCCACCTGGGGCCTGGCCAGCTTTGGGGCCAGCAAGCACCAGTCCCCCGGCACCACCCAGCTCTGACCACCAGACGTTCCCTCACTGGCCTTGGTGGCTCCACCATAGGGAGGCCCGCGGCTACTAGCACTCACCCATCGCCTGGTACACGATCCCCTCAAAGCCGTCCATGATCTTCCTGTGGGGAGAATGGAGGTGACTGTGGCCGCCTGTGCCGCCCGCGGCAGGTATACCCAAGCCACCCGGCGAGCACTGTGAGCCTTACCCCATCTCCAGGTTCCTGGCGCACAGCGTCTCACACCGGCTCCTCAGCAGCACATTCTCCTCACGTGTGGTCTCCACCTGCACATGGCACATAGCACATAGCTGCTGGGCACCCCTCACACCCAGGGTCCCGGGGACAACGTGTCAGAGTCAGGGGAGTGGCTATGAGGAGCCCCGGTCAGCCCAAGGACCTTGTGGCTCCCAGGTGGCAGCAGGGCCAGCCAGTGTCCAGGGAGGGCACTGCCTGTCGGACACGACGGGGTCCCAACAGCCCCCAGGAATTGTGTCTGTGCGGGTGGAGAGGGGGGACACCTCCTGCTGTGGACAAGGCTGGGAGAGCAGCTGCAGAGGGGGAGGGGCCCAACCACAGGACCTCCTGGGCCAGCTCTGGGCAGGACAGGGGGCCACAGGCACTGAGGCTAGGAAAGGACTTAGCAGCCAGCAGACGTGGCCAGCCTGTGCCTGTGGGGGATGCCTGAGCCCCTCTGTGTGTAAGCAGCTGCTCTGGGAGATGCTGGGGGAGACACTGGGGTGTGAAACCAGTGAGTGGACATCTTCGGTCCTCCCCGGAGCCACAGGAGGAGAGCTGGTGCTCATGGCTATGTACTGTGGCACCCCATAGGAACCCAGCCTCCCTACACCCTGGCCTCACCGCTGCATCCAGGTCCTTCTGGCTGTACTGCAGCACGTCCACGATGGAGCCCATGGACAGCGGTGGCCCCCCAGGCCCAAAGACACAGGGAGGAGGATCCAGCACCTGTGGGGGGATGACAAGCTGGGCCATATGTGCTTTTGGGAAGCATCCCCACCTCTACCCCACTGTCGGGGAGGACAGGCCCTCAGAGGCCAGGGGTTCCTAGGGCAGCAGGGAGTGCCCCCACCCCATGCCAAGGAGGGTTGCTGCACCCACTCGTGTCATCAGGCCCGTAACCAGAGGCCTCTCTCTGCATCACAAGGGGAAGAGCACTTACGGGAGCATCTGGGGGTCCCAGGAAGTCAAGTTCCACGAGCTTCGCCTCTGGCAAGCTTCCTGAGGAAGGCACGGCCACATCCTGTGCACTGAGACCCCGGAACAGAAGGTAAATGTGCCCATTTCCCCCAAAGGCCAGAGAACAGCCTCTGTTACAACCCTTCAACTCTGCCTCGAGTCTCCACTCCTGTGTCATGAGCTATCACCCAGCCACAGGGGCCCACCAAGCCTCATGAGGACAGGCAAGCGTGGGATTGGACCCACAATCCCTTCTCCCGCACCCGAGGGGTCCAGAGAGCCCTGAAGTCTACCTTTCCAAGGCAGAATCATGAATGTCCCCATTTAGTCTAGAAATCTTGGGTCGATGGCTGCCCACCTGCCCGCCCTAAGCCCCAGGGGATAGAGGGGAGGCGTACCTGCTGGTCTCTGGAGCCACAGGCCCTGGTCTCTGAGGGCTGTCCTTCAGGAGCGGGTCAAACTTGAGGTACAAGGACTGTTTTCTCAGGGCTGACTCCTTAAACTGGAGGACTGGGTGAGTTAGCAGGTTCACCAGCCTCCCCGATGGAGGATGGCCCCAAGGCAGACCCCAGCATGCAACAGCGTGTGTTCAAGCTCCCCTCTCCATGGGAGCTCCAGACGGGCACCACGAGGCTCCGGGTGCAGCTTGGGAAGGGGTCCCGGGGAGCCCCTGATGCCCATCACGGAGCGGACACCATTGGCGTGTGTGAGCCAGCCCATCGTGATTTTTTTCATCGTGAGGTGGGTCAGTGGCTCAGGGTTGTTCTAGAAAGCACCCCCTTTGCAGAGGTATACTCTGGAAAAGGCTGCCATGACGGTGCGGTACTCACCGAGGAACCCCCAAACTGCTCCAGATAATCCACCTCAGCTCCTGAGCCTAGAACTGAGGGGGGGAGGCATCAGTGCTGCTGTCACCCACCACATGGGCACCGTGAATAGCAGTCCTCTGCTTCTGGCCCCGTGGCCCTCAGGCGGGGCTGCCCGGAGCCGTGATTTGCTCCCCCCACCCCTCTCCCCTGGGGCCACCAATCCTGGTTCACACTAAGGACCCCTGGGGCCAAGACACCTGGTGGGATTGTCCCGTGTGTTGCCGGGAGCCAAGCAGCAACTCTCCAGGTACGACAACCAAAATTGTCCCAAGGGACCCAAGTGCCAGGGCTAAGAGCTATTATTTAAAACTACTCTAGGGGTGCCTGGGTGGCTCAGTTGGTTAAGTTACTGCCTTCAGCTCATGTCATGGTCCTGGAGTCCCGGGATCGAATCCTGCATCGGGCTCCTAGCTCTGCAGAGAATCTGCTTCTCCCTCTGACCTTCTTCCCTCTTATGCTCTCGCTCTCACTCTCTCTCAAATAAATAAAATCTTAAAAAAAAAAAAATAAAAAAATAAAAATACCCCTAAAACCATTTTTGAATTCTGGACAATGGAACTTTCACTTAAAAAAACCTGAGGATGGCTCACGTCATACACGAAAATTTACTCAAAATGAATAAAAATCCCAAATATAACAGCTACAACTATAATGTTTTTAGAAAATGTAAAGGCAGACACTTGCAGTATCACATCTGGCATGGATTCCTTAGACTTCACACCAAAAGCACAAAGAGCAAAAGAAAAAGAGGGAAACAAGACTTCAGGGTTAACATCTGTGCTTCAAAGGACGCCACTGGGAGAGAGAAAGCCCATAAAACGGGAAACGATTCCTTCCATGTCACCTATATGGTAAAAAAAAAAATCCTTACCTAGGATAGATGGGAAATCATTACAACTCAGTAATAAAAAGCCAATTTGAGGGGCGCCTGGGTGGCTCAGTTGTTAAGCGTCTGCCTTCGGCTCAGGTCATGATCCCAGGGTCCTGGGATCGAGCCCCGCATCAGGCTCCCTGCTCAGTGGGGAGCCTGCTTCTCCTTCTCCCACTCCCTCTACTTGTATTCCCTTTCTCGCTGTGTCTCTATCAAATAAATAAAGTCTTAAAAAAAAAAAAAAAAAAAAAAAAAAGCCAATTTGAATCCAACAGCGGGGCTAAGGACCCAAGCAGACATTCCACAGAAGGTGTAAAAGGCACATGAAGACTCTTGTCAGCAGGGGGATGCCGATCAGATCCTCGGAGGGGGCGCCCCCCATGGCTGGAGGCTGGAATTGAAGTCCCAGAGGCCCCCAGGGGCTGCCGAGGCTGAGGAGAGTCGGGGACCTTAAATCCGGCTACTGCTTTGGAAAGTAAGCTGGTGTCTCCTCAGTGTCACCCAGAGCTACCATGTGACCCGGAGTTCCCCTCCAGGGTTCGTGCCCAAGACCAACAGACACTCATGTCCAACACACATGCACGCGAAAGTTTGCGGCAGTCTCACTGAGCAGACAACCCAGATGCCCCTCAACTGGTGAACAGAAAGGCTAGTTGTGGTCCCTCCGCACAGCGGCACACCCTTTGGCCGGGACAGGAACAAGCAGCGACACACGCTACAAGGCAGAGGACCCTTGAACACCTGATGCTCAGGGAGAGAAACCAGACCCGAGAACCCCCTTGGGACTCGGGGGTCCCTGGGATTGTCTGGTCATGGACCAACCCTGCACTCCGGTCCTGGTCTCCTCTCTGCCTGTAAGCCAAGCCTCATCAAGACCCCATCAACCTTCTCTCTAGTCAGACAAGTCCATCCTAGATTCTCACTTCAAGAGTCCAGACCCTCCCTCCACCCCCGTGGAAGGTCAGTTCTCTGTGGGGACTCTGTGTGGACTCGCCATTCCAATAGGATTTCTCCACCAACAAGGTGCCTGCCGCCTGTGTGTGTGTGCGCACAGAGCCTCTTTCCGGATCTGATTTCCGGTCCTGAAATCCCTTACAGCAGGAGTATGTCCTGGAAGGATCCAGAGCATCTGTGCACATCGCTTCAAGTCAGAGAATAGAGCTGCCTGTAGGGCAGTCTCTGGAAAAATGTCCCTGAACATGGGCATTTCTGGAATAGCAACCCGCCGGCGCGGACAGACAAGTGACCTGGGGACAACGTACCCTCAGTGGGGTCTCGGAACTGCTCCTCAGCCAGCTCAGCAGTGGGCTCCAGGCCCCGTGGAGGAGTTGGGGGCGCCGGCTCACCGCCCAGGCTGCCCCTGGGGGCTGGTGCACCTGCAGGGTCCGCAGCTCCCTCCTGGAAGAAGGGCAGCTCGGTCTGGGCATCTCATGAGGCCCAAGGTCCCGTGTGTGGCCTGTACTTTCCCCAGTCTCGTCAGGATGGGGGCGGGGGGAGCTGGGGTGCCACGCCGTGTCACACCTGGTCTCTCCCCACCGCCCTCTGCCCACGTGCACGGAAGACGATGGATGGCCTGGGCTGAGCTCATGTCCCTACCTCGCCTGCTGTGCCTGGGGTCCTGGCTGCGGTCTGCACCCCAGGCGTGTCATCCGAGGAGAATGAAGGCACCTGCCTGAAGAGATGGTGTCAACAGGGCCTGTGCCCCGGGACTGAGCTGCCTCCTGCCCTGTGAACCCTCACCCTGAAGGCCAAGGGCTATGCGGGAGTTCCCAGCAGAGCCGTCCCCACCCACCTCAACTGCTCAAGAAGCATGGGCTTCCCAGGGGGACCCAGCTCACAGAGCAAATCCCAAGGGTTTACTTGTCTGATTTCACCAGAGTAAAACATGCCAGAGTAAGGGTCCCAGGGGGCCGGACCGGTGCGAGGAGATGGCCTACAGGACTGTCAGGGTGCACTCCTGGCTAGGGGGCAGCCGGCATGCATCCCACCAGAATGCTGCTTGGATGAGTGCTGGGGGGCCAGGCCCTGGCTAAGTGCTGGGAGAGTGCAGCGGGAGAGCCCGAGGCACAGGGGAAAGCACGGGGAGCTGCTCCATCGGCCCTGGACTGGCAGACGAGATCCCCTCAAGCTCCAGGGTGCTTCCAGATTGTGCTCTTAGAAAGCACAAGCTGCCGTGGAGGGGACGGAACCAGGCACCACTGCGTGTTCTCCTGCACAATCTCTCAGGAGCCCCCTGCAGTGCAGGAGCGCACCCTCTGTGGTCTCGGGATCCAGGCCGGGCAGCTGCCTCCCGCAGCCCGTGTGTGCCCAAACCCCTTCTCTGGCCTGGGTCCTCCAGCACGCACACTGCTGGGCACTACCCCCCCACCACCAAGTACTCACAGGCTTGGAGAGGAGGGCCCCGTGGCCTCGGGACTAGCAAATATCTCCTTGGCCACAGGCCCGGCTGGCCTGCTCTGTGGGCATTCTGAGGGCTGGGCCTCTCCTCCATCTTCAAATGGGTTAAAGTTTGGGTCATCCAGCTTGTTCCAGTCCAGGCTGTAAGACCTCCGGGGCAGGGGAATGGGCCCCTCACTGGCCTCCTCAGGGGCCTTTTCCTGCTGCGGCTCTGACATCCCAGAGGGAGGTTTAAGGCTAGGTCTTGTCCCCAATTCCCTCAGTGCGGGCAATGTTTTGCTGGTAGCATTATCGGAGAAATCAAATTCTAGCTCTATGGGCCTGCCATTCCATGAGGTGGCTCTCTGGCCATCAGCTTCTTTCTTCTGAGGACTTGGGGCTGTGGCCCCTTCAGCCTTCAGACGGCTGGCCAGTGTGGCATCCCCAGGACCAGAGGGCTCTTCAGGGAAGGCCGGGGCCCCACCAGGAAGGTCTACAGGGGGCCCTTCTCCACCTGCTCCTGCAGGGCAAGTTGTAGGGGGCAAAGCAGCCCTAGCTGAGGAAGCAGGGACCCAGTTTGGGCTTTCTCTGATGGTTTCGGGAGGGTCTTCTGTTCGGTCTGGGGTAGCCGTCTGGGAAGGGTCTTCTATGATTTCCAAGGTGGAGGGAATACTCTTTTCTGAGAAATAAGAATGAACACTTTCCTCCAAGGCTTGCTTGGGGCTCACAGTCATTTGTCCTAGAGAAGCCACTTGATTTTCAGGACGTTTTGGCATCTGGGGAAAGCTTGAGGGATCCATACTGGCCAGGTGAGCTGAGGTGGGCCCACTGGAATGCTGCCAATCTTCAGGGGTTGGTCTCACATCTGCTGGAGCGGGGATGGCATTGGCCATCATTGGTTTGTGGAGAATTCCATTGGTCATTTTGGTGTCCACTTCCTTGGCGAACTGTTGGCTTTTTAGAAACAAGCTTAGTTAACACTAAAGAATCTGTTAGTTTTTTAACTAGAACTTAATCCATGAGAAAGCATTAGCTAAAATCAGTAAATAACAAAAACAAAAAAAAAAAAAACATTCAGTTAATTCTCTTCTTAGGATTAACTTTCACAATTATATCCTCATAAATCAAAGCTCGTGGACCAACGAGAGCACGCAGGTTTCTGGGAGAGCCGAAATGGGAGAAGTCACAGTCAAGGTTTTCTCTGCTTGCCTATTTCCCCTTTCATTTGGTGACCACCAGCTACACAGTCCGGGGCACAGAAGGATCAAGATTTTCACTGAAGAGAAAGATAAGATCGAGAGCTCTTGACAACACCCAAGGCTGACTCGCAAACAGAAAGGAGACCCTAGTGGGTATGAAAAAAAGAAACCTATCCACATAGCACTGGAGATGTGCGCAGACATTCCATGAAATGAGACAAACCAAAGCCAGGCTGGTGTGTTGATAAAGGTACAGTAAAGGAGCACGACATAAAACTTTTCTTTTTTTTTTTTTTTTAAAAGATTTTATTTATTTATTTGACAGATCACAAGTAGGCAGAGAGGCAGGCAGAAAGAGATGAGGAAGCAGGCTCCTCACTGAGCAGAGAGCCCGATGCGGGGCTTGATCCCAGGACCCTGGAATCATGACCCAAGCCGAAGGCAGAGGCTTTAGCCCACTGAGCCACCCAGGCACCCCACACGACATAAAACTTAAAACTTGGGACGCCTGGGTGGCTCAGTGGGTTAAGCCGCTGCCTTTGGCTCGGGTCATGATCTTGGGGTCCTGGGATTGAGTCCCGCGTCGGGCTCTCTGCTTGGCGGGGAGCCTGCTTCCCTCTCTCTCTCTCTCTGCCTGCCTCTCTGCCTACTTGTGATCTCTCTCTGTCAAATAAATAAATAAATAAATAAATCTTTAAAAAAAAACCAAAAAAACAAAAAAACAAAAACTTAAACTTATTTGGGGCACCTGGGTGGCTCAGTCAGTTGGGCGTCTGACTTGGTTTGGGCTCAGGTCATGATCTTAGGGTCATGAGATCAAGATGCTTGCTCTTTCTCTCTGCCCCTCCCCATTTGTGCTCTCTCTTCACAAATAAACCAAGAAAACCTTAAACAAAAAAACCTTGAACTTCTACAAATTTCATCATCCACTTTTCTGCTAACAAGTGGCTTCTAGTGCGAGCCACTTAACATGCTGGGTAACGCCCTGCACAAGCTCACAGCAGAAACCACGAGGAACTTGACCAGATGTGACTAACGACAAAGTGGAATTTTCCTGCAGCGTCCACTGGAAAGATTAGGAATTGCAGTACATCAAGCAGCATCAACACTTACTTCTCTTTCTGGGTCCGGTTTTGAGGAGAGTTTTCTAAGCCAACAGTATCCTCCAGAGCAAAAGGAGCCTCGAGCTTGCTGCTCATGCTAGGACTTAATATCCGGTGTGTCTGTGGGTCCCGCAGAGGAGTCTGGAAAGTCACCTATTGGGGGAGGAGGAGACCGGTTCAAGAATTCCAGTTTTCACCCACTATTGTAGCAGTGCCCTGCCCTCTTCCACAAGTCCCCAGGTAAGCAAGTCCCAGAGGGACCTAATGCATGACACATGGTAGATTTACACAGGCAAAATGTGCTTACTTTCATAGCTTTGAGTACGCTCTTGGGTGGCACATTTTCTTTCTGTGACAGACGAAGAACAGATAGTCTTCCAGTAAGTTCCGGTGGTGAAAACAGGAACTCACAGTTCTCTGCACTTCTGTCACCAGTGACGTTTTCATCATTGTAGATCTGCAGACTCATTCTGGGAAAGCAAACAATTGGCGTCAGTATGAGGGCAGTGCAGTCTGGATGAACAGCCAGGGCAAGGAGCTGGCCCGGCAGGGCAGACGTCCCCATCCTGCACTGGTGGGTCCCATCTCAGCATGTCCTCTACCAGGCAGTCCTTGTCCTGTTAGGGCAGCTGCTGCCGCCCAGGACAAAGAGTGGCAAAGGCTTTCAGCCCACAAAACAAGGAAGGAGAATCGGGTCCTCAAAACAATTTGGACTTAGCGAGGAAAGGTCAGGAGACCTGGGTATGGGCCTGTTAGAAAGCCTGGGTCTCCCCTCAGGTCTCTACTGCAGGCGCTGAGGCCACAGCACAGCTGAGCTGGCTGCCATGTTAGCTGAGAGCAAGAAAGCAGGCTTGCTCTTTTGTCACAGGCTGGGAGATGGGGGGCACACTGTGGCACCATGAGGGTCCAGGCCCAGAAGAGAGCGGGACAAGATGGAGACCAATAAAATGGAGGATTACTTTGGTGGGGACTGGAGGAGTTTCAACACTGAGGCTTGGAGTCTAGAAATATACACCAGCGACCTCCAGAGGCCCAGAAGGTTCCAGAACAGTCCCCACTCCCCCTTCCCAAGGTCCTCATGACGGTCACTAGCAGGACATTCCCAACCCAGGAGTTGCCAGAGGGCCTGTCCATGGGAATGTCCCAGGTATTTGCTGGTGGCAGGGGTGCTGGAGGCTGCAGCTTGAAGAGCAAGGCTGGGCTGGCAGGGGCAGAGGGAGCAAAGCTGCCCTGAAAAGAGGGGAGTCAGGATAACAAGATGCCCTGGAAGGTATGGGGCTGGGGCCCTGTGTGTGAGCGCAGGAGAAGGGCAGGAGGGAAGTGGGGGGTCAGAGGTTCCTGCATCCAGACAGGGTGGTGTGAGCAGCCCCAGCTTGGCCAGCAGGCCCACATTTGGGAGTGGGATGGCTGTGGGATACTCCAGGGAGAGGGCCTAGAAGACACTTTCCGACAATGCCTCGCCTGAGGAAGGTGGGAGAACAGCCGGGGCAGTCTCTGTCAGGCCTGGCTTTCACTGACAAAGGGGAGAAGGCTCCGGAGCAGAGGAGGCCAGGCCAGACCTCCCATTAAACGGAGGTCCAGGTCCGTGGGCAGAACCCAGAGGAGCTGCGCCCAGCAGCTGGGAACAATCAGCAGGAACCAGAGGGCGGGTGCAGCTGGAGTCGGCGAGGGCTCACAGATGGGAGCTCGCAGGTGGGGCGTGGACAAAGGAGCACAAAGGTGCCCCCGGAGGAGGGAGGGGCTGAGGATCGGGTCCAAGAGGGGAGGGCGGCGAGCCGGGAGCGCAGAGGGTAGGAGGTGTATACTCGCAAGGCGCGGGTACAGGTAGGGTTCGAGGCTGGAAGAGGTCACAAGGTGACGGCGAGGGGAGGCCGCCTTAGGAGACCAAGGGGGAACCGTAAGGCAGGAGACCCTCGGGCGTCTCCGCCCAAGGGCTGCGGACGAAAACCAGCGGACCCGCGGGGTGCCGGGGACTCCGGCAGGAGGGCGCCCATGGAAGGGCGGCAGCAAACACCGGCGGGGGGGGTCCCAGGGGGCGGGGGTGCCGAGCGGACGGCGCACCCCGAAGCGGCGGGAGGAGCCGCGGAAGGAGGAGGGCCCGTTGGGGGCGGGCGCCGCCCAGCTGCCGCGGGCGTCAGGGCGCGGGGACCGGAGGCTGGGGGGGACGAGGTGGGGATTGAGCCCCGAGCCGGGGACTCCGCCGCCACCATCGCCTACCTGCTGGCGGCCACGCGAAACAGAGGGAGCGGGAGACGCGGAATCCGGGAGCCCGTTCGCCCGCCGCCGATTCAAATACCGACGGTTGGCGCGCGCGGCCAATCAGCGCGCGACGGGGACGGGACGCACGCCGCGTCGCGGCCACGCCTTCCGGACGCCGGCGGTCCGCTTCCGGGGGGAGGGGCGTGTTGGGCGCGTCGGCGCCGGAAGCCGTCGGAAACCCGGCTCGCCGCGCCGGCGGAGGGGCGGGGCCGCTGGCGGGCTGAGGGTGGCTGCGGGGGGCGGGGGTGAGCTCTGCCGCGGACGCGACTGGGCTGCGCGGAAAGGCCAGGGCCTAAGAGCCATTGGCCCGGGTCTCGGCTTCCCCAGTTGTGAAATGGGACCGGCTGCAGCTCCGCCCCAAAGCGGGTTGTGAGATGGAGCCGAACTCTCAGGAGAACAGTCGCGGTCCCAACGCTTCTGGCTGAGCCAGACGCGGCAACTCCGTTTCCCAGGGTGCCCCGCGTAGATGTGACGTCTCCCAGCGTTCCTCACGCCAGCTTGCGGACGGGACACCATCTCCCAGAATGCCCTGCGGGCGGCGACACCGTCTCCCAGAGCACCCCGCGCCGGCCTGGCGCTCGCCTGCTGCCGCCCACCGGCTCGGAGTTCTCGGGTCTGTTTCCCGTCGCGGGCTGCGGGGCTCTCCCTGACGGCTTCCTGGGGGTCGCGGCAGCGCGATGGACAGCCCGGAGGTCACCTTCACGCTGGCCTACTTGGTGTTCGCCGTGTGTTTCGTGTTCACGCCCACCGAGTTCCACTCGGCCGGGCTCACGGTGCAGAACCTGCTGTCGGGCTGGCTGGGCAGCGAGGACGCCGCCTTTGTATCCTACCACCTGCGCCGCACGTCCGCCACGCTGCTGTGCCACTCGCTGCTGCCGCTCGGTGAGCAGGCCGGACCCTCCCCAGAGGGTCCTCGGGGCGGGGCACCGGCCTGTGTCCTCGGTGGGCGGAAGTGGCCCCTCGGGCTCGCGGCCGAGTTCCGGGACCCCAGAGGTCGGGGAAAGTCGGGGGAGGGCGAGCGGGTCCCCGGTCGCTCTGAGCAGAGGAGAGACGCTGATCCCGAGAGCCGCGGCCGTGAACTAACAGCCCGTGCGCTCTGAGCTGGGCTTCTCGCGTCCCCGGCTCTCGAGAGCGGAGAGGAAGGTGCTGGCGGCAGGTGGCCGTTTGCAGGTGGTGGAAATGAAGGCTTAGAATATTGAGGGGAGGGCAAAGGGGATGATGCTTCGCCCAGCTGGGGCAGGTCGGGAGTCATTTCGTGGAGGCAGTTCCCAGGAGAGGGACATGAGTTAACTGATTGTAACAGGAAGGTGGAGAGACCTGGGAGAGCAGGAGGTCTTGTCCCAGGCTTTGGAAGGTGGGGGCGGGAAAGGAGGCAGAGATGGGTAACCCCATAGGGGCGTCACAAGTGCAGAGGATGGCGGGGCGTGTTTGTGTGGCTGGCGCAGGATGTTCACAGGTGGTACAGGGGTTGGCCTTGGGCGGAGACTCAGGTGCTGTCTGGCCTCTGAGAGGCTGGTTTGTCAGCTGGTTGGACAGGGGACTGGCTGGAAGTCGGGGTACTAGATATGTGTATGTGGTTCTTTGGAGGATACAGAGCAGAAGCAGGTCTGGAAGGGCAGATAGCTGCTGGGGGCCGTGTCTATGGCTCCGTGGGCACAGGAGTTTCCAGCTGTCAGCAGGGCGCAGCAGCCTGGGCCAGGTGTGGAGAGCCTCCTGGAGGGGGCTGGGTTGAGGCCAGACATGCGCAGGAGGGCTGCCTGCCTATGCCAAGGACACAGGGCCTTGGTGGCAGTCTGGTGGTCTCCTTTGCCACGGGGTCCGTCTGCCTGCTGTTGGGGTAACTGTGTGGCTTTCTCAACCTGAGGCCCCAGCAGCTCTGTGAGGCAGGGATGAGGAAAGTGTGGCTCGGAACCTGGGCCCCCGAGAGGGTCGTGGGTTGGGTTTCTGTCTTGGGAACTAAGGGTCCCCACAGCTTTCTGGAGTCCCTTTAGCCACACCCTTTCTGTAAGCCTGTGAGTGGCTGGGCTGTAGGCAGGCTACACCAGGACAGAGAAGCTGGAGCTTAGGGAGCTCAGTGACTCATGCAGGTGGGAGGAGCTTAGCCTTGTGGCCAGTCTCAGGGTCTTTTTCTTCCTTTTGACCTTGTTTTGTAAAAGCTTTGAAACTTTGTATGCCTGTTTCCTACTGCTGCAGGATAAATTACCTTAAATGAAGTAACTTGATCGACAGCAAATGTTTACTATTATTTTGTACTCTTAAAGTGCTCAGGCAGGTATCCATTATCTACTTCGTTATCTACTTCAGTCACTATGATATGCAAATCGGCATATGGAGATGTGGCGTTCCCCATTGTTTTCTGCTTTCTGTTTGGGGCACAAATCTGAGCTCTTGGGATGGGCCACACACTGATTTGCCTTCTCGGTGGGGGTGGGGTTGAGAGGCCAAGATCCCATCCCTGGGAGGCCAGCGTGCAGCTTGGCTTTGGGTGGCACCAGATCCTTGTATTTGTCTTTGCTTTTTTTCAGGCTTTCCTATTTCTGTAATCATGTATTACCTGTGTAAGGCTAAAGTAGTACATTAGAAACGTCTTTTTCTCCTTTATTGTATTACTGTCGTGGGCGAGGGTTGAGCTGGGCCAATGTGGAGGCAGGTAAGGTGCACCTGCCTTGGGGTACCATGGCCTAGCCCTGAGAGCTGACCAGGGCGGCCTTTGGTGGGCACTTTGGAGGGAGAACAATGGCCTGGCAGCCCCAATTCCTGCTGAGGCCCTTCCTATCCTTGTAGGTTACTACGTGGGCATGTGCTTTGCAGCCTCAGAAAAGCAGCTCTACTCCCTCGGCCAGGCCCCAGAGGCCTGGCGGCTCTTCCTCTTGCTGGCAGTGACTTTGCCCACCATCGCCAGCACCCTGATCTACTACTGGTCCTGTGATCAGTGGGCCTGCCACCCGCTGGCCCGCACCTTGGCCCTCTATGCCCTCCCACAGTCAGGCTGGAGGGCCGTGGCCTCCTCAGTCAACACGGAGTTCCGGCGAATCGATAAGTTTGCCACGGGGGCACCAGGGGCACGTGTGATTGTGACAGACACGTGGGTGATGAAGGTGACCACATACCGTGTGCACGTGGCTCAGCAGCAGGATGTGCACCTGACCGTGACAGAGTCCCAGCAGCATGAGCTCTCCCCAGACTCGAACCTGCCTGTGCAGCTCCTTACCATCCATGTGGCCAGTGCCAGCCCTGGCGTGCAGGCCTTCGACATCCGGTAGGTGTGCGCGTAACCAGGGCAAGAGTAAGGCTGGGGCATGTCAGAGGCAGCCAGCCACCAGGTTCTAGTCTTGGGCTCCTCTGGGAGGCAATGATGCGTTGGAGCAGGCTCCTCTATCCACCCCACCAGTGGAACTCTCCCTCAAGGCCCCTTGTCCCCTCATGCCCCTGTAGGTGCCCCCTGCTGCTGCTCTTTCCGTGACGGCTCTTTTCAGGGGAGCATGTTAGGCATGTTTGGGGGGATGGTATAGGACTGAGGTTTGATGGCTGCTTTGGCTCTGGGGCCCAACCAATGTCTTCCCATCCCATTCAAGCTTTGGACAGTGCATTGTCCCTCTACTGTGACCCCCTTTGTGCCTGAACTTGTTGAGAGCCAGGCATTCTGTGTCCCACCTGCAATCCACTCACTTTTTTTGCCCCTCCCTGCATCCCTTGGGGGCAGGGAGTTGGTGCTGGTTCTGTGGGCTCTGGCCTCAGGGTTATCTTTACTGGCTGGTCTACTTCAGGTGACTGGGCTGTGCCTGGGCTCCCATGTTGTGTGTGGTTGTGGGTGTCCTGTCACTGTAGAGGCACCTTGGCATCCCCAGCAGGAATGATGGCCCTGCCCTGCAGAGGGGCCTTGGTTCAGTGGCCCCAGCCCAGCAGACCCCACCTTGTGCAGGCTGAACTCCACGGAGTATGGTGAGCTGCGTGAGAAGCTCCGAGCACCCATCCGCAGTGCGGCCAACGTGGTCATCCATCAGAGCCTGGGCGACCTGTTCCTGGAGACGTTTGCTTCTCTGGTGGAGGTCAACCCAGCCTACTCAGTCCCCAGCAGCCAGGTGAGGGCTGGGTGGGGGCAGGTGGGTTCCCACAGGCCAGGCCCTCTGGGTAGGATGGAGGGGCACAGGGCTATCTGGCCAGCCTCCCTATGACACCCTTGGCCCACCCGCAGGAGCTGGAGGCATGCATTGGCTGCATGCAGACACGTGCCAGTGTGAAGCTGGTGAAGACCTGCCAAGAGACAGCTGAAGGCGAGTGCCAGCAGTGCTACTGTCGTCCCATGTGGTGTCTCACCTGCATGGGCAAGTGGTTCGCCAGCCGCCAGGACCCACAGCGCCCTGACACCTGGCTCGCCAGCCGTGTGCCCTGCCCCACTTGCCGTGCACGCTTCTGCATCTTGGATGTGTGTGCTGTGCGCTGAGCCTGCTGGCTGGAGCAAAAAGTGGCCTTGGGGGCCCCGGCGAGACCCGCTAAGGACCCCACAGTTACCATGAGGAGCAGCCAGGGCTCCAGGCCCTCACTTGTGTTGTCAGCCAGGGGCTCTTTCCCTAGCATGACGAAGGACAGAAGTTTTTGTTTAAAAAGGATATTTTCTTCTGTAGCAGTGGCAGTGGGATGGGACTTCAGTGCCTCCGCTTCCTTTCTTCTTTCTCCAGGTGGGGGCAGGTGCTGGACTCGGAATATGGTATGGTGTGGGGCCTGTTTCCAGAGCATTCTGAGGCTGCCTGAACTGTCTTCTAGAGACCAGGGTTCTGCCCCCATGGCCCTACCCTGAACCACTTGCCTTAATTTTATGTAGCATACCTGCCTTTCAGTTACATGCCAAACCTAGGTTCATCCAAACTGGTTGCAGTTTGTCCTCCAGACTCCTGTCTCCAAGCTGGCTGGTGGCCCTGTGCCCTGTGTCTCCTCTGCACCCCACCAGGCTTCTCAGCGTCTGGGGAGAGTCCGGCGGTGCAGAGAGACTGGGGTGCCACTGCAGGGTGAGAGCACTGCCTGGGACTTCCTGGGTGGGGTGACCCCACCTGCCACCTGCCCCGGGGAGATCCTGGACTTCCTTTTAGAGGCTGGCTTCTCTCAATTCCTGTTCTTCAGCTGCATGCTTGTGGGGGTTGCTTGTCTCCTGGAGGGCATGCACCTCTATGCCTACTGCTGCCCCATGAGTCCAGAGAAAGGCCAAGCCTGACTCCCAGCCAGAGGGGATACTGAGCCGAAAACAACAGCACTGTCCTTGCAGACAAGCTTGTTGGGACACAGCACAGGGCTGGCCACAGCTCTGTAAGGCCACCTGGATCAGAAAGTGCCCTGCCTCTTCCCAATTCCTGGTGGCACACCTAGGAGGGCAGGAGCAGCCAGGCCATCAGGCCCAGCTCTGACTGATGTGGTTGCTGGAGGGGGCCTTCGTATTTGTAGCCCTAAGCCTCCTAAACCTGGCTGTTTGAAGCAGGGGTGATGGACCAAGCCGGCTTGCCTTGGCTAAGGCCACACTGAAGCCCAGGGATTTGGGAGCGGAGGTGGTTTAGCCTCGTGGGCCGCCAGGGTACCCCGCCAACTGAGGCCATCAGAGGGGACGACGAGCCTAGCGTCAGCGGAGGGTTTCAGATACTGTCGAAGGACTGGGTCGGGCTATTTTTATTACAAAAGAAAGTAACTTAGTTTTATAAATTTACTGTTAGCTGAGCAGTGCAGTATTTAATAAAACGTTAGTCCGATGTACATACTGGAATATTGTGTTTTTTCTGATACTCGAACTGGTAACGGGTGAAACCGACTGGGAAGTGGCAGCGCTTTGCCCATTTCTGTCTAAAATGAGGCGGGAGGCGGGCGCTGTAGGAGCCGCAGCCTCCGTTTTCCCAGCTGCCCGTTCCTGGGGCTCCAGCAGGGCTGGGCCAGGGGTTCCTTAGAAGGGGTGGCGGCCTCACGGCGCGTGGGTCAAGAGGAGCGTAGAGGGCCCGCGTAGCGCAGCCACCAGCCAGGGGCCAGGGGCCAGGGGCCGGAGCGCGGCGGAAGTGAGCTCCGCGCAGCGGTGAGAACCGGCGAATGCCGGCGGCTCAGACTGCGGCCTCCCCTTCCGGGTTCCCGATTCCCGCCTGCCCAGAGGCCTCTCCCGCGAGGTCGGCCAATCAGAGGCCGCCTTGCCGGGCCAACCAATCAGAGGCGCGTCCTCTCCCGGGTCTTGGCTCCCCCGAGCGCCTGGCCCGCGCGCGCGGCCGAATCTCCCGCCAAAAGCCCCCCTCGCCCCGCCCCGCCCGCCGCGCTGAGGCTCGGCAGCCCCGGCCGTCCCATGCTAGGACGGGGGGCAGCGTTTCCTCGGGCCTGTCCCCGTCTGGCCGCACGGCGTCGGTCCGCCGCCTCCCGGAAGGCGGCGTCGGGGCTGCGGTCCCGCGTTCTCCCGCCCAGGCCCGGGACGCCTGCGAAGCGCGCGCAACCGCCGGGGCTCCCCCGCCGGCCTGGGCCCGATGGTCTCGCCCGTCGCGGCGCGCGCGCGGGAGCTCCGGGGGCGGAGCCGGCACCACATAAAGGCAGTTGGGGGCGGGGCGCGCGCAGAATCTGTCAGCGCCGGCGCGGGTGAGGCAGGGTCCTCCGCCTCCAGCCCCGGAACACCGCCGCCGACCCCGACCTCGCCGCGCTTGCCATGGCCTGCCGGCCGCGCAGCCCCTCCGTCTATGGGAGCCGCCGCGAGGGCGGCAGCAGGTGAGGCGGGCCGCGCGCTCCGGGCATTCCGGGCGGGCCGGGCGGGGGTCCGCGGCGGGCGCCCGGGGCCTCCCCTTGACGCAGTGTGTCGCCCGCAGTCCGCCGCCCCCCGCGAGATGGAGCCTCGGGCGGAAGCGCAGAGCCGACGGGAGGCGCAGGAGGCCCGACGACGCCGAGGGCCCCGCGAAGCCGGCGGGCGACGGCCGCCCGGACAGGTGGGCCCGGAGTGCGGCGCGGGCGCGGGGCGCCCGGGGGTCCCGCCCGGCTGGGGGTGGGGTCCCGCGCGCTGGCGGTGCCCGTGCCCCTGCTCAGCCGGCCAGAGGGAGCCGTGCCGCCAGCGGGTTGGGTCGCGTGTGTCCTGCTCCGGCGGTGGCGCGGCCTGGGCGGGGGCCTGCGGGGCAGGTGCGCTTCGTGCAGAGCCTTCCCGCCGCGGGTGGTTCCGGGCCCCGGAGAGGCCGCTGGGAGCCGGGGGTCAGCGGGGAGGCCGGGAGCTCCTGGGGCGCTGGCGAGTCAGGCCCTGTGGGCGGCCCTTGTGCAGGGAGCGGCTGACCGGGACGCGGGCGCTGTGGGGGGAACGTGCGGGCACTGGACTTTCTGCGGTTCTGCACTCGTTGGCGGGCCCCGGGTTCGGACGGGAGTCTGGGGAGATTCAAGGCGCAGGGGTGGCTCGGAACCGTTTGCTGTGAAGGAGAGGGTAGGGGTAGAGCTGACCCGGCCGGGGAGGGAGGCGGCGACTGGAGCTGGCAGTGTGGACGCTCAGAGCGCCGGGTACTGCACGAGTGTGGCCTGTGCGGAGTGGAACCTTTTAAAGACGCGCTGCTGGGAGAGCTGCTCGGGCAGAGACGCTGATGTGGCGGGCGCCTGGACGCTGCTGCAGCCGGACGTGAAGAGAAGCGACGGAACCTCGTGGGGATCAAGATCTGAGTGCTCGGCGGTCTCCCGTTTAGCGGAGGAGAAAACGTTAGGTCCTTATACGCTGCCTCCAAAGTCCTCTGTATCCCCGTGGGTGGGCCTCTGGCTCGGGAGTCAGCCACCGGGGCCTTACTCCTCTAACAGGGCGGCGGGAGTGCCCTTGGCTCCTCTTGGCTCTTGTGGGGGCTGGCTGCTCGTCCCTTGTCCGCTGAGGTGATGCCTGGGGGGCGCACGCGGGTACCTGTAGTAGGGCCCTTAGTTCCTGGTTCGAGGTAGGCTTTGTTTTCCATTGGAGCACTTTCCCCTAAAAGTATTTTTGTCCTAGAATAAGATAGATTGAATACGCTCTTTTGATCTAGAAAGGTGGCCATAGTTTTAGAAAAGGTATTTTCTATTTTACCAAACTATGCGATGTAGTGGAAGGTCGTTTGTAAGCGCCTTTAAAGAGTTCAGCAGTCTGGGGGCGCCTGGGTGGCTCAGTGGGTTAAAGCCTCTGCCTTCGGCTGGGGTCGTGATCCCAGGGTTCTGGGATCGAGCCCCGCATCGGGCTCTCTGCTCAGCGGGGAGCCTGCTTCCTCCTCTCTCTCTCTGCCTGCTTCTCTGCCTACTTGTGATCTCTGTCTGTCAAATAAATAAATAAAATCTTTAAAAAAAAAAAAAAAAAAGAGTTCAGCAGTCTGTCATGGCCCAAACTTGAGCCTCTTGGTCCACGAGTAGGGACACTGAGGTCCAGCTGTCGACAACCTTCCACGTGGTTCCTTTCTGTGTCTGGGATGCAGTTACTGAGTCACTTTAACTTTTGGTTCTTTAAATTGACTTCAGACCTTGCCAACCATTTTTAGGTTCTGGAAGCTTAGTTTTAGAAATCTTAGTTTTTCTGGGTGAGATAGCTGTAAGAGAAGAAATGGTAATTGCGCACAGGGATCATTCATCTGTTGCTGCAGTGGCATGTGGTTTGCAACTAGGGTGCATCTGGTCTCTTAGAGTGGCACCTGGAGTTGTGTCTATCTTTGGTGTGTCAGTGGCGGCTAATAGAAAATTGAGGAAAAATAAAAATGTCGGTTTGCATCTAATCTGCAAATAATAGATATACCAACAATTCTGAGTGCCAGAATTCTTGGTATTAAGCCTTTTTCAAATTGTTCTTTTGTTTTTTTTTTTAAACAATTTTTTATTTGAGAGCGCATGCGTGCAGAGGCTGAGGGACAAGCAAGACTCCCCACTGCGCAGGGAGCCTGATGTGGGGCTCAATCCCAGGATCCCAGGATCATGACCTGAGCCAAAGGCAGGCACTTAATGGACTGAGCCACCCAGGCACCCCCCCCTTTTTTTTTTTTTTTTTTTTTTTAAGATTTTATCTATTTAACAGATCACAGGCAGGCAGAGAGAAGAGGAGGAGAAGCAGGCTCCCTGCTGAGCAGAGAGCCCTATGTGGGGCTCAATCCCAGGACCCTGAGATCATGACCTGAGCTGAAGGCAGAGGCTTAATGAGTCACCAAGTCGCCCCATAAGTTGGTCTTTTTTTTTCTTTTAAGATTTTATTTATTTATTATTTTTTTTAAAAAGATTTTATTTATTTATTTGACAGAGAGAGATCACAAGTAGGCAGAGAGGCAGGCAGAGAGAGAAGGAAGCAGGCTCCCTGCTGAGCAGAGAGCCCGATGCGGGGCTTGATCCCAGGACCCTGAGATCACGACCTGAGCCGAAGGCAGAGGCTTTAACCCACTGAGCCACCCAGGCGGCCCAAGATTTTATTTATTTATTTGACAGAGAGGAAGAGATCACAAGTAGGCAGAGAGTTAGAGAGTTAGGCAGAAAGAGCCAGGGAAGGGGGTTCTCCACTGAGCAGAGAGCCCAATGCTCTCTGAGATCAAGACCTGATCCCAGGCAGAGGCTTAACCCAATGAGCCACCCAGATGCCCCATGATGAAAGGTTTCCTTGATCTCTGGATTGAACTGAGCTCCTCGTTTACACTTAACCAACTCTAAGGGGTGCTGTTTCCAGTACGCTAAGTCCTAATGTGGCAGGGACTCCTATGTAAATTCTTATCCCTCTATTCTAATTAGGTGGTATATTCTGAATAGTTAATTAGGTACATTTAAAACTAAACAGTAGGCACCATTTATTAAGTACCTTTTATGTGGTGGTCACTTTTCGTAGTATGAAGTGTTATCTAACTCCTTAAAATACTGAAAAATAGTTTCTCATTTTGTAAATGAAAGAACAGGTTGTGTTCTTGCCTGTGCTGAAGGTGGCTTGTTCATGTGGCCTTCCCCCCAGTGGACTGTTTCCTCATGATCCAGCCAACACCGGTAGATGGTGGGTGCCCGCAGGTTCAACAGATAAACCTCCGAGAGGTTTGAAGTGAATTGCCCAAACTCAGCTAATAAGCGCTGGAGCAGAGAGTATCCTGGAGCCCATTCCCTCTACACTCTGCAGACAGCGTGGGAGCATCTCCTAGTGTGCTGTTTGAAAGGACACTGAATGGAGGTGTCCTGGTTCAAACATGCATTTTCGTTGTATTGCAGTTTTACCACTCCTGAAGGCCCGAAGCCCCGTTCTAGATGTTCAGACTGGGCAAGTGCAGTTGAAGAGGATGAAATGAGGACCAGAGTTAACAAAGAAATTGCAAGGTATACATCCTAGACCCTTGTGAAGTGTGATCCGTGGTGTTGCTGATTATATGTTAGTTTCCAGGTGTGTGTTAGAAGGATGATTCTTCGGAGGCTGGTTCCCATTCCAGCAGCATTAGCAGTGCCTGACCACTTGTTGGAAGAGCCCATTCTCAGACTTCACCTGGCCTGCTGAATGGGAAACTCGGGTGGGGTCCAGCCATGCCTTAAATGAGCGGTGCAGATGCATCTGCTCACTGAAGGACTGTTGTCTTAGTGGCTGTCCTTCCACCGTGGTGGTAGGTGGGAGGTGGTGCTACCATGATGTCTCTAATCTCTAACCTACCATGATGCCTCTAACCTACCACATTGAGTTCTGCCACCCCAGCCAACTGTGTGGCTCTGTTTATTTATTTTTAATTTACTTTATTTTTTAAAAGATTTTATTTATTTCACAGATATCACAAGCAGGCAGAGAGGCAGGCAGAGAGAGAGGA